ATGGAGTAAAAGAGTTCATTGGAGCAAGAAAGGCACTGTTAATGACGTTAGCAAGGGCCGTACGACTCGAGTCAGGCCCTGTATCAATATGCTTCAGGACATCTTTGCGCTTAGCTGATTGTATCCCGCCAAGTGATTTAACTTCTTTCCACCACCTACGCGGTTCGTAGTCCCTCAGATGTTCGACTTTGGACTCATAGTATTTAGCACGACAAGACTTCGGCAAGCGATTAACACGGTTCCGAAGGCGGCAGAAGCAATCTTTATCACCACAAGCAAGGGCTATCTGGCGCTTGTGAATTAAAGATTTCAATTGTTTGCTAATCCATGGTGGCTCGTTGGTAATGATCGTTTTGGATTTAAGGGGGACAACAGAATCCAAGCCCGTCTTAGATCGGTTTCAAGCGCGACTGTTTCCTTTTCAAATGACTCTTTGCATTTTACCAGACGACCAAGGTCAACTTCATCGAGGTAAGTCCGCATGGCCAGACGATTTGTTGTCCGCAAGTCTCTGGATTTCAGCAGGATTTTGTTCCTCGGACCATCCTGTCTAGCCAGAGGCTGTACCTCAACAGTATCGTGGTCTGAGAGCCAAAAAGGAGGCACCTTTTTGGGCACATCGTAAAAGGCGCTGAGATTGGTGAGGACTAGATCTAATTTACTTTGCCCACGAGTTGGAAAGGGGACAAGTTGACGGAGATCGAAAGCGTTCCTTAGACGAGAGCAATTTAACTTGTTAAAATCCCCCAAAAGAAGGAGGCCACATTCAGGAAAAATGGCTTCGATTTTTCATAATTACTCGTACAGGTAGTTTAAAATGGAAGAGTCGGTTGCACTCGGCAGATGGTAAATAGTTCCAACAATAATAGGTGGTATGCCCCTGGGGAGCCGTTTGGGGCGGATTTTAACCCATAAAACTTCACAATTTTCGTCCATAAGGTCGGATAGAACATCATATCAGATAGAATCGCGGACGTACATGCAAATCCCTCCATGATCACTAGTTACCCTGTCTCTGCGGATGATATTGTAGCCCGGAACCAACACGAAATTGTCATCAATGGGGTTTTTGAGCCATGTTTCCGTGATGCAAATGAAATCCAGACTTGCATTGCAAATCGTCACTCGAACTTCGTCAATCTTTGGTGAGAGAGATATCACATTTGAGAGAATAAAAGCCGGCACAAACGAGTAAGCAAAGCCAGATTCCAAGGGAGCTTCGAGACGAATAACCTTGCAGTTAGCAGGAATATGTCCCGAACTGGACTCCGTGAATTTAGTTTTAGGGCTCACTGGTCTTGACTTTGTAATGGTGGTTACAATGTGGCGCTTGTAAGTTTCTCGTTCTTTAACTTGCTTGCCTGCTCGCTTTCCACGGTAACGGGGCCAAACGTTCTCTTCTAGAGTATCATTGATAGGAAAAGATGAGGCTTGCATCATGTCGATGAGGTAAAATAGAAAAATAAGGATAAACAGTTTAAAAATATGCGGAGCTGTGAAAGCCATATGCAGCCGTGAAAGGCGCATGCATTATGTTTATTATGTACATTAAGTTCATTTTTACCCCATTAGACAGCAAGCGCGATATGACGATGAAAAGTTCAAATCTTCTAGGGAGCAGTGGTTTCGTGTTTCTCCTTCTTATTGGTTTTTTTTTTTTTTTCATTTCCGATATGGGAAAAATGAGCTTTCGGCACTTATAATGATGTATACTATTATATTGCGCATAGAAGATCTGTCGAAATTAGGATTGTTTTCACTTTACCTTAAAATTATATCTTTGATATCCTTTGCATAAAGCAGTGAAGCGCCTTTAAAAACATATTTTGTTTTACAACGATTCGTCAGGCCAGTCTACAAATAGCAGGTATACAGTTATTTTGTATTTTGCACTTTTATGTTTATAAGTCTAAATGAGTCCAGAACACCTCAGCTTTCCAAGTGTGTGGTATCCATCATCACCTGAACCGGCATCTCCAAACCTGAGTTACTTAACGGGAAGGTTGGATTTGTCTGTGAGTAAACCGCTATCGTTTCGCCAGGTTTGGTCTCTTTTGTCGCAGTTGCATCCGAATCTATCGTCTGCACATGTCTTGATTACGCCACATGCGCATCTGTAGTCAACAGAATCAGCTCCTCCCCAGTACTTCATTTTCTCTCCGTCACGCGACACCCACCAGCCGTTCATGCCACCCACTCCGGGAAATAGAAGTGATGTGGCATAGCACTCGTACATTATAAACTGCTCAAAGCGATTCGATCAAGCGGTTAAGCTTGCCAGCTGAAGGAGACTAGTTTCATGGTAAGTGACATTATGTAAGTAAAAACTGCCAGCACCATTAAGCCCTTCCACTCTTGTGTTCTGTTTTCACTGTCATGACTGACAAATGTCACTCTAACACCGTTCTTGTCAGTAAAAGTAAACTTCGAAAGGTTTCTCCCCGCCCTCTCCATCAGGGTCGATGACGTAAGAGCCACTTGAGAGATTACATAGCTTGATCTGACTGCAGGTTTTAACTCCTTAGAGGCAAAGAAGAAAGCAATTGTAAGTGATGAGTTGTAACCGTCGGTATAAATTTATCTCTATTTTCGTGAAAAGAAAAATCGAACACGAGAGTAGATTATAATTGATATATTTGGTTAAGTTGGAGCCAGAAAAGTAAACACGTCCAATAATCGAGTATTTTACCGAAAGATATCACTTTTCAGTGTCCTCTCTCAGTCATTATTAATTACTTAATCATCGAGAGGTCGTTAAGGGAAAATTCTCAAACTGAAGCCTTGCTGTACTGACTGAGCGAGAGCGATAAGAAAAAAATATACCTCCTCGTTCACAATGAGTTCCGCAGGATCCAGGCTTACGGTCAAAGTGATAGGAGTTCCTTTCATATTCAGGAACACAGGCACCACTATCATCAGCGGCTTACAAGGAAAGTTTTCACATGCGGCTTACAAGGAGTGCTTTCACGTGGACACTGAAAAAAAGGGAGGTTCCGTCTTGAATGATGCATTTATATCTATTGATGAAAATGCGCGTAAAATCATTAAATATATAAGAAGTGCTTACCAAAGGACTGTGATGATGAAATGGTGCATTCGAAAAGAACTTTCCTGTTGTTCTGTATTTGTCCGTGGCCAACAACTCACAGAGATAAAGGCTTTTGGGGTCAGAAAACACTGCAATGTTAAATGAATAACACTTTGGATCGCCCACACAAAGGAAAGTGCAGTTCAATGGATCTTTCATCAAGGACGATGTAAGTTTTTTTTTTTTTCCCATAAGAAGTAGAAGGGAACGCGCTTGAATTTACCAAAAGAAGCAAGGCCCGTTGGATATCGATAGAGAGCGCTGTTTTGCATGGCAAACAAGAATTCTAAAAAAGAAGGGAAAACCAACAAGAGGGGCAGAAGCTGCATGACTGACAACGTCTAAATGAGCTGCTTCAGGATATCGAGGACTTTAACAGTAAATAAGAAATAGGTCCTTTATGATATTGCCTGTTTAAGAACTAATAGCCCCATCCATTAACCAGGTGCCATTGGTGGGTTAAACTCGAACCGTATAAGAATTAAAGGTGGAACAGTAAGTTTTAAAAGAGTCATCCTGAAAAAATATTCTTCTTCTCGTATTTACCTGATTACTTGTTCATTATTTAGCTAGAGGGGCTTTCAAACCATTTTTTACGAAAAAAAACGATGTCCATTAGTTCTACTGACAGAATGATTTATTAACTTGGTTTGAAATAATTTTTGTTAATTCTTAAAGGGAATGTTGGTACTCTGCTCCTTACACCACTACAAACTGAAAGATAATTTTCTAGTTACTGCTCCGGCACATCTACCTGTGCACAGCTGGTTTGCTGTAAGAGATTCTATTTTATCCCGGCCTGCACCGGCTACGCGCCTCGTTGGCTATCTATCATCTCATATCCAACGCGCGCTCGTGGAATAATTGTTAAATATGTATTTTTCAAAAGGCGGAGATAGAAAAAAATCTTGTTCTTAGGGACAAACTTCTCTTTTTAGCTAATACGGGTCCGTTGCTTATGCTTTTTTAACCCTTGACCTCTCCTACTGACTAAGCTCAAATTGCTGCCACGTCCCTTGTAGTATCAGCCGTGTTACAAACCACAAGGTAATGGGAATATCTGGAAAGATCAATGACCCAACTCAGCACAGAGTCTCTCTGGCTCAGTGATGAACCATCGGATCGCAGTATTTATATGATAAGCTAAATTATATACGCATTTTGATTGATTTTTACGTACAGTGTATGATCTAATGGATGACAGTCGCATAGGTGACGTCACACTAACAATTCACAAATCCGTGAGAAAAAATCATAGGATACACAACCGGTGTTAGTGCGCTGCGCGGAACTCCGGGACTGACTCGGTGTAACGAGGCCGCTTTAAAGAGTCTGCTAACTAGGTTTATGGTCACGAGAGGCTCAATTCTAGTGTCTGCATTTGCTTGTCCTCTGAATACAGGTCTTTTCACAATGAATGTGGGGAGCTTAAATCAGTATGTGTGCTCAATACAAGGTGTCTGTTTGATACTGTCTATTTGCGAAAAAAGCATGTAAAAGTACCGATCAATAAATAAGAGAAAAGAAAAAACGCTTACCATTCACAAGGTAATTTTGGTTTTTTAGGGTGGCCAATTTTCATTAGTTGGTAAAACCTAAATTATCTTGTTATACTCCTATTTACCATTAACAAGTTTGTTATTTTTTTCAAATAAATGCTGCATGAGTTAAAATCAGGATTCGAAACAAGATCAGATTATCTCAAATTTTTTTTCATTTTTTAATTTTTTTTTATTTTTACTCCTTAAAGGGAAGAGTTTGCTGACTAATCTACATCGGGAAATTTGGGTGATTCTTATATAGAAAAGCACTTGGCTGTTGGGGATAAACAAGCCTTGATTGGTCAAAAGGGAATATATTGAACGTGTTGATTGGTTGATAAATTTAGTTTGGGTATATAAACCTCCAGTGACTCACTTTCCATGCGCGATATCTGTACCCGGCTTCGACCTCGAACGTGAGAAAATAGGCACTTTGCTTTGTTAAAAGCAGACTATATAAGTGTGGAGAAAGAGGTCGTGGATAGCTAGACGTTAAGCCATGACTGAATACAAACTGGTAGTTGTTGGAGGTAAACTGATTTTGGTGCTCTGCATCGATAGAACGTGTGATCTTTCTATGAAAATTTGAACCGATTGCGCTGAACATTTGATCCTTGCTCACCTAATGTCGTACTTTTGTTCCTCTTGCAGCCGGTGGTGTTGGGAAAAGTGCGTTGACCATACAACTCATTCAAAATCAGTAAGTGTCTGCCTATTGAGGAACCAGTTCGTGCACCGTTTAACATGTTCTGTTTGGAAGTTGTGTTTGTGGCGAATTATGCAAGGGTTGTTGTGGTACACCAAACTGGACTCAATTTACGTCCCGGGGATGAATGTAAATTCAGAAGATGTGACCGAATGTACGATTTCAATAGTACTATATTGTTTGGTTTAAATTTGTATATCGTTTCGAGTTCTTTCCCTCGAAATCATTGTAGCGTGAGTCGGAACATGTTTACTGTCCTATCAAACAGGCAACTTACCTGTAAATTCAACTCTATTTATCAGACGCTCCCAGATAATTATAAATTCGATTGAACAACAGCATTTAGCAAAATCGCACTTCTTACTTAAAGTCTATGGGCCTTCATTTGATTTCATAACAAACGAATGATGTTTTGCAAACATGCGTTTAAACCTTCCTTTCATCATTCAAGATATTTGTTTCACTCGCTCTCGCTAACTGAAACAGGAACTCTTCGCTAAGACCGTGCGCCCAGTTCGGTAATTTTAAACTTCTCTATCTGAGTTCAGTAAGCTTCTCTCTCTCGTAAATAAATTTGGTCAAAGAATAAGCCTTATTGTTCTGTTACGAGCATATGTAGGCCTTTCGGTTGTTTTCCATTCCAATAAGCTGGGAGCTGTTGATGTACATGTGAAAAGGTTACTGTATACCATGGGAGGGGAGAGTAAAAAGGGCGTGGACATGGTTTGAAGGTTGGGTATGGTGTTTTGAGTTTGGGGCAAACAGCGGTAAAATTTTTCGTCATACTTGTTAACAACATTAATTGTGATAAGTTAAGCAAGAATATGAACATGTTTGCATGATTTGGCCAAAGGTTAAGTTTTAGAAACGAATTTCAACAAGAGAAGGACATGAGTTACCACAATGTCCTTCTTGTCAATATTTCTAGCAGTTTTAAAGTTACCTAGTATGTGCAGCTGTGAAGATTATTTCAATCTCTTTTTTTTATTTTTTCTTATGCTTTGATTTCTACATAAGGGCAAAGCTTTGATGATATTATACTGTAAACTGCTATATTCAAGTACCCCCTCCCACTTATAAGCTGGTCTACCTGTAAACAAGCAGAATAAATCCTGCTCCCTGGCTTTGTTATTTTTGTAATAACAAAGCAGAAAGCTCTGCCTGCTTTTAAATAGACATTAGGATTTTAAATGATAGGAGAGGAAAGATAAACTGCACTGGGAAATTCTGAACTTCTGTTTTGTTTGTCATGTTTCACTTTTATTTTTGTCGTTAATTTTAATTCTGTTCCTGTTTTAAATCTTAGTGGAAAACCAGTAAATGCAAACTGTATTTTGATTATCTCTGCAGCTAGAGCTCATTTCAAAGTGCTTTTTCTACTCCAGCGAGGAGCCCTCTTGGATATAAGCCCCCTATCTAAAAGCCTTCCTTAAACCCGTTAAGAGGTTGCATAAGCCCAGGGCTTACAAGTTGCAGTTTATTAAATTTAATTTTGTACACTATTATTTTTCACCTCTAGCTTTGTAGATGAATATGACCCAACAATTGGTGAGTAAAGACTGCTGAAAATTTTGATTTACATCTGCTAACTCAAAGTGTCTGTGTGTTTCTACAACACTTCTTCATGCAGTATGAACACAGTAGAGCCTTGTTAACCCAAATTCAGTTAACTTTTTTTCTCAATAAAAACTAATTTATGCTTATGCTGCAAGTTCTAAGTTTGTGGGATTCTCGTACAGGAAAAACTATACTAAATAAATCTTTTCTTTCCTGCAGAGGATTCTTACAGAAAACAAGTTGTTATAGATGGGGAAACATGTTTATTGGTGAGTTTTGAATTTTCTTGTATTGTTGGCCACTTAAATTCTTTTTGTGCTTGTACATGTAGTTACAGTATTAACAAAGGTCAGTTCCGAAAGAGTCAGTCACGCCTACTTTGTTTGAACTGTATTTTCAATCCACTGGACTGATTGTTTAACACAAACAGTTTTGTATTAGTACATTACTGGCTATAGGAATAGCAGCACCTACACATGCATAAAATACATGCAAGATGGTGGATATACGCACAAATTACACATGTAAAATTTTGCACAAACCACTTAATTACTGACGTGCACCTTAATTTTTAAAACAAGCTAAGATCAATTTAAAAAACATTTTAAGACCAAAATGCAAGGTACATGTTAATCACTTCTGGTAGTTAAAGGATCAAGTGATGCCTTGGGAGACTGTTTATTTTGTGCTAAAGACATAACATTTTTAAACTTTTTTTTCATTTCCTCTTATCTTTTTAATAGGATATTCTAGACACAGCAGGACAGGAGGAATACAGGTTATTTATCTAGATAAAAACCTGAACATAAAATATAGTACCACATACATGATCATACAAACTTATTTTCTCTAAGCTTGAATTAGCCAAATGCAATTGCCACCCCACCTCACCAGCTTGGACAGGAGCCAGGCCATTAATTCCTGTAATAAAAACTACATTCCTTCAAAACTTGATCAATCTCTGATCTTTGGTTCTTGTGATTTTCATGGATTGAGGCATAGGGATGTACATGTATGTTGAGTTTTAAGACCCACAAACGTTTTGCAGTATTCAAGGGCTTCCAAAAACTGTCTTTGAGTCTTTTTCTTGAAACAGCAGACTGAGATCCTGAAATAAATCTTGGAGTTGTCTGGGTTCTGGAATTTCAAGAGATTAATTTAGAAAGTCAATTTTAAAATCTAAATTTTCAACTTTTGAGTACATGAGTAGTATTTCAGACATTTTAGCTGTTTTGGGTAAGCCCTTGCAAAATCTTGGTCCACTATCCTGCTTGGTCATTGGTACATGGTGGCATAAAACTTAGAATTTTATGTCTGAAGTGTGGCTTCTTTTCTGCAATTGCTAAACTCGCAACACATCTGCAAGGATCATACAGTAGCTTCACTTTACATGTTGCATTGTTTGTAATTTTTAGTGCAATGAGAGATCAATATATGAGAACTGGAGAAGGATTTCTGTGCGTCTTTGCAGTCAATAACAAGCGATCGTTTGAGGAAATCCATGCATTTAGACAACAGGTATACTATTTGTAAACAGGTACTGTACTGGTTAATCATTATCCACCATGACTCAGTTTGTTCACCAGCTAAACTCTAAGTCATGTTTGTTCACCAGCTAAACTCTTAAGTCATGTTTGTTCACCAGCTAAACTCTAAGTGATGTTTGTTCACCAGCTAAACTTTTTAGTCATGTTTGTCCACCAGCAAAACTCTTAAGTCATGTTTGTTCACCAGCTAAACTCTAAGTCATGTTTGTTCACCAGCTAAACTTTTTAAGTCATGTTCAAGTCCTGAATATTTTCAGGCTTCTTTTTACAATTGCATGTTTTGTAAAGCATCAGAGTGAGGATCATTTCTTTTGACTCATTCCCAATGTTTTTTGCCCTGTATTGAGTTTGTTCAGAGCTTTGTTAAATAGTCCATTCAGAGTTTATTTTTCCACTTCAAAATTTATTTGCTCTCTATACAGATAAAAAGAGTGAAAGATGCTGATGAAGTCCCTATGGTTTGTAAGTATTTAGACCAATTATTGGTTCTGAATAAAAAACAGGCAAAGTCGACTCTGTATAATCTAACAACAAACATATGAAATACATATATATATTGTATTTCATATATTGTATTTCATATTTCTGTATAATCTGCAGGATTTATCTAACATCACATCAATCAGAAACCTGTCAACAACAAACAAGATATCTCATTTCAGGTGTATGTTACCATGCAGTGTCAAATTCCTCAGTTACCTAGTAACCTTTTAAACCCTGGTGACCAGCATCTAATTTCTCCTTCACTAATACTGCTAAATCATTCAGTAAGATCAGAAGATGGGAATTATCACCAAACAACGGAACTTCGACGGCTAGTAAATAATATCCTTGTCTTTACTCACATAAACATTTAGAGAAGAGTGTAGATGATATGGATAAGGATGTTGGGATAGGACAAACTCAAAGGGTACATGTACATCTCAGACTTTAATTATTGCCAATTCATTCATGTTATTCTTTATAGTGGTTGGAAACAAATGCGATCTTCAAAGGACTGTAATGCCAACAGAGGCATACGACTTAGCGACAAGTTATGGAATTCCATTTATAGAGACATCAGCCAAGACAAGACAAGGTGTTGAGGATGCCTTTTACACTCTAGTCAGAGAAATTAGACGGGATGTAAGTGACCTTAATTTTGGAAAATATTTTTCTTTTTTTGGTACTGTTTATACATGCAAATATAACCACAACTTTCTCTCTTTTTAATTATCTTACAGAAAGGAAAGAAGCCTGTCAAAACTCCCACAAAGAAGAAAAAATGTATAATCTTGTAATGACTTTTCATTTTTTGTCTGTTCAGTGAACAGCTTGGTAAATTTGGTCTCCTCAAAATATTCAACATTTCAGGTCTCCTAGAAGTTTATACAAATCTATCCATGTTCATAGTACCTGTTACACTTAAAACCAGTTAGTACTAGAAGGTATTGATGACGTGTACATAAGCCTGAATATTCCTTTCAAGCATTGTAAGCAGTGATCCCCTTGTGAAAGTAACAAGTACCTTTGGAGAAAACTTAAAAAACAGAATTTAAATTGCATGCTAGTAAAGATGTTTGACCAGATTGAAAAAGAGAGTGAAAGCTTTGTAGTAATTTCACAGAGTACATCTTAGAGGTGATTTTTTCTTTATTTGGAGCAGTAAGGTTCATAACAGCTGAATTTGACACAGTTCTTGTTGAGTAGTGTGACTTTTAGAAGATTGAAAAATTTATTTATTGATACTTTAAAAGACGTTTGACCAATAATAAAACAGAACTGCTGCATTTTTTTTTCTTTTTGGAGATTTGAAGGCGATAAAACAATGTGTGTTACCATTAATTTTCTTACTGTGGAAGAATGTGACTATGAATTTAGTGCACCATAGATCTGTCACTAGAATTGACTCCAGATTTGTGAACAAATAATTCCATTTGCAAGTACAGGCCAGTGCTGTTTTTCGGAAGGAATATGTTGATGTTGGGGAGGTTGGTGTGAAAGGTTTCTGCAGGTTAGAAACATGTCACAGCAGAGGATGATTATAGATAAAAGATTGATAACCAGAAGCATGTACTTGCAGAATATTACATAAGAATCGGTTTTTCCATAGTTGGGTACAATGATTTTCCCTTGGGATTAAAGGCTTTTAAGAGAGGGTTACTCGTAGGAACATTTATGGCAATTACTATTCATCGTAGACAAATTGAGTCAGGTTATATTCTGTGATTTCCTGACCATAGTAATCAAATGAGAGGTATGAGCTAGTGGATCAATTTTTTTCTGGTTGTGCAACAATTTTTGGGGCATTATTTCAACAGAAAACGTAAGAAATGACAGCTTTCGTGCAAATTCGAGGGGAAAAATTTAAATGTTTTCAGAAATCTGTTAAATAGAACAGTTTCAGAAGAGGGAGAAGTTGACACTTCCAAAAACATCCAGCTAATTTTACTGTAGTGGTCTCGTTGATTTTGCCTGGAAGTACTCCACCCTCTACCCCCTCCCCCCCCCTACAACCATTGTGTTGTCAGCATGTGTGCCGATTTTTAATGGCTGTGTTTCATTTATGTGATTGAACTGATTGTGGGTGTCTACTCTATCAGTACAGTAGACTGCTTATCTTGAACTCAAACCTGTCAGGGCAACAGAGGATTCAATTTCGACCATTTGGTCTCAATTGGAGGTTGTTAATTATCAAGGTTCATACCAGTGACCTGCAAGCTCCAATAGGCTCAGCAGCTTCAGTGGCAAAGTTGTAAGAGATGCTGGCTCATCTCAAACAGCTTTACATTGTGGCACCAATGAGAGCTTCATTCCATAGTTAGTAACTACACTTAGTCTCATAGCATGAGGTTAGATCTTGAGGGTAAACTGTACTTTATTGCCTTTGTTCTTAATGTTTGTTCTCCACTAACAATACATAAGTATGGACTTGTAGATAAGTAACATTGCTTTAATTGGTGTTTCTTTGTACCATGTTATGGTACTGTGTGTATTTTGTTCCCTTTTTCTGCCTGGAATGAAATAGTTCTCCATTTCCAAAAGAAGTTTTTCATTAATTTGCAAGAGTAAAGCAGTAATTGAAAATAAAATAAAATGAGATTTCTTTCTTGTTTTTCCTCATTTTGTATTTTCTTGTTTATACGTAGTCATACACATGGAGTACATAGTTGAACAAATAGGGGGTAGCAATACAAGTAGGAAAACAGCAAAGCTATCCCAACGAAGAGCATGATGAGAAGTCGCAACCCTTTCCTTCAAATATAATTTTTATTCCTTTTATTGCTTATTGTTTTATTTAGTCATTTATTTACAGCTATAAGAGGTTGAGGGAAGTGTCTTGTTGATGTGAAAGCTGTTACAAATCCCCTCAAAACATCGAAAATACTACGAGTGAAAAATTCATTCTGAGATTAAAATGGTTATAACCTTTTAATACAGAAGAACCATGCTAACAGAAGCCAAAGGAGGAGTGTCGCAACACAAATTGGAATATTAGAAACCAAATGGCTGAATGGGAATACTTAACACTAAGGTTCGGTTCGGTTTTTTCCGAATGGAATATTGCCTCGCTTCCGAGTTTAGCAGAAAGGAGACTGGGCACAAGTGCGGAGCCGCCTGAGGATTTTTGTCTCGAAGATGGCGGACTCATCCCGTGAACGGGACTCGTTATTCAAGAAGTGTGTCGGAAAATTGAGTGAAAAGTATCACAGATCGTTTCTTTTAGACCTTGCAAGCATCTATCTTGGTCTTAAACCCTCGCTTCTCTTCGATTACACAGTCGTTGATGCAACGAACGCAAGCATTTTGATTGATGCTCTGGTTTTAGAGAGGGTTGTTCCATACGCTTTGGACGTTCTCAGAGTTGGCGACGACATATTCTTCGCTGACTTTAAATATTTGGTGAGGCATTTAAAGACATCTTTGGAACTTGAAGAGCTTATTTTTATCGACGTTTCAGGGGCATTGTCAGAGCCTCGTTTGTTGCAATCAGATGCCTCGAAAAGCATTTACAAACAGTTATCCAAGATTGTGGACATTTTGGATCAGAAAATAGGAAATCAGCGTTCGAACGAAACGCGAAGTGGCAGTGTTATTCGAAAATCAGAGGTTATAGATTTAAATATTTGTAAGAGTGACGCTAGTATGTGGTGCATTCCTTGTATTTTCGGCTTTCTTCTTCGTTATCCTGTAATTTACTGGTGCAACGATCAAGGTACGTGTACCGATTGTAATTGTCTCAGCATGGTTCCACTCAATCGTTACACTGTGACTGTAAAAGAATCGTTCCTGATCCATTCTTGGCTGATGAAACACAATAGTGGATTTATTCAGGTTTTAAGAAGAGGAACAAAGAGCTGCAGTGAACACGTTGTGTTTTCATTCTCTGCCCCAGTAGCCCTCCAATCTTGCTATGAATCTGATGTTGAGAAGTGGATGAAGAAAATATATGATAGTGGTGGGGAACTTGAAACTGGTGAACATTTAAAAGTTCAGAAAACGGTACTTTCATTGCCTCATCTTGCTTTATGATATCCAATATTCAATGATTTAACAGGAATTCTTCATGCCATAATTATATGCTCACAACATCCAAATTTGGTAGTCTCCTTTGCAGCGCTTCCTAGACTTGTCACACAATGCTCCTCGTCATAAACGTGGAGAGAAATGCCACACGACAAAATCTTAACAGAGCTGCAAAGGAGACTACAAAATTAGGCCAAGTTTAAAAGTAAAGCTTATGTTTACACATGTAAGAGACTGTGCTATCTTGGTTTCTAAGTGAAGATTGTTTCGTCTCTCATTGATTCACACTGACTTTGCAAGCAGACTCCATTTTTTTCCTTTTCGGATGCCTGTTGGTGTACTGCAGTTTAGCTAATTTTGTACAGGGTGGGATAACAAAAACAACATTCTCATTCATAGAATAAGAAAGATGGTAACTTTTTACAAACATGACACTATTGAGGTTGTCGATTCTAGCAGTATGCAGGATGCATGTCATATATGAACTTCATTAAGGTATCTCACTCACCATAGATTCTCTGTGGCTCAGTGGTAGAGCATCGGAGCGCAAAATCCAAAGGTCTGAGGTTTTAACCGCCTCCCGGTTAGCTCAATTGGTTAGAGCGCTGGACTGTTGTGTGGGAGGTCGAGGTCGATGGTTCGAGCCCCGGCTGGACCAACACTCAAGGCCTTAAAATAACTGAGGAGAATGCGCTACCTTTCTTTAATGAGGGGAAAGAGACCATCTTTAACAAGCTTTGATGAGAGTCTTACGTCTACTTCATTTCCATGGAAAGTCGTGCCTTAATTAAAGCTGCAGCCAGCCATAGTGAGTTATCTATATGTAAGATGGAATTACTTTCCATTTGGTACGCTCGAAATACACAAAAATACACACACCGTTAGCAGCAGACCCACTCCCGAAAATGTGGAGCGTCAGTTTCCGAATGATTTGATTCGCGAACTCAGAACTCTAAAGTGCGATGAAAAATCAGATTGGAATATGAAGGCAATTAACGAAACACAAGTGAACTCTTAAGTGAACTTCAAAGCAAAGTACTTATTTCTTATCGAAACCTTCGGCACTCAACTGGAGGACGTCTCAGACAGTAATGATCAAAAAGATCTCGACGAGGAACAGAAGTGGTATTTTGCATTGAAGGTTAAATGAGCTCACACGTAATGGAATTCTTGGAGCCAAGAAATAGGTCAGAAAAAAAGAACAAATAGCCGCAGAGATGGGTCGTGTATCATTGAATCAAATATGCATGCTGAGCTTGTGTGATGTATCAAGTAATCTAAAGAAGAAGCTATGAAAGATCTTATGGTCAGCATACCACAGATACGTCTTTTTCCAAGGGAACGAAAGAGAGAAGGTCTTGGGAATAACGTTGGTGATGTTCACTCCAATCCGTAAAAATATAGACCACTTTCATAAATGGCTACCGGATTAATTTTCTTTTTTTTATTATATGGCTTCTGTCTCACAAGGACTGCGAACTACCGAATTCACGAATTTGATTGGCTGAAATCAATATTGAAAGCGGTCTAGATTTTCCCATTTAGACCGGCAGCTAGACCGGTCTAGAGAAAAAAAGGACAAAGAATATAAAAAAAATTGGCATATAAGTCACAGCCATATAATAAACATCTTATTAACCGAGCTAGGTCGGTCTGTATGGGAGAATCTTGACCTCGGTCGCTGGTACAGACCTCACTGCGTTCGGTCTGTACTGGCGACCTCAGTCAAGATTCTACCTTACAGACCTCCCGCTCGGTTAATAAGAACTAGTCTAAATTTAAATTAGCCCTTCTGGCCTCGTTCTCTAGTACAAAATTCAAAAGAATACATTATCTCAAGCGAGGCCAGAAGGGCTAATTTAAATTAAATAAAAGAATATTAATCCGGCAGCCATTTATGAAAGTTTTCGTCAGTAAATTATACCATGGAAATATCTACATAATTTACGGTACCCCAAGCAAAAGCTGTGTTGAGCATCCTGTTCAATATGATTTCGGTTTGGATTTTTGGTTGCCGATTAGTACAGTTGCTGACGCTCTTGCTGCCAATTGTTCATTTTCTTCAACGAGCCTTGATTGGTTTCTCGCTGCTAATTGTTCTTTTTCTTCCACTAGCTTTGATTGGTTTCTCGCGCGTTTTGACTGATTAACTTAGAATATGCGACTTGATCTCAAATAGATGATGAAGTATTCTCGCAGTTATTTCAGCAAAACATCGTCTGTAGTTATGTCATAAAGGCAATGAAATACATTTACCCTGGTTTATTATGTAATGGAACCATTTAGAATGCTGGGAGAACACCAGAGAAGCTTATAAATCACTTGCTTGGGGCTCATGATTTAAGGGTTTCTCTCTGTGTTCTCCCAACTTCCGAGATAAAACGCTGTGAAACCCGGAAAATGCTTCTATTCCTCAAAGGATTATCATATCTGCAAAACTTTCTGACCTGTTTAGTAGTTCTTTCCGTGAATTTCGGCTAATTTGACTGCTGTTGGTATCTTCTGTTTGGCTTAAAAGCTTGGGTAAGTTTGTAATCTGGTAACTAAACCAGCTATCATATTTTACATTTTCTACAGCCTTGAGGGTTCTCCCCGACTCAGTTGATTTATAACTTGGATCTATATTTGCCAGCCATTCCGACTCTTCGTAGTCGGAAATGTTATTCAAATCGTCCGCCATTTTTTTTTTTTCGTAACTTCAATCCGGCTTCGCTTCACGATGCGAGAAAACCTGTCTAACCAGTTCTCTGGAGTACAAATACAGCTTGATACCTGTACTCGTCTTTGGCGTTATTTGTACTCTACGAAGTGTAGTTGGATAATAATGCCGAATAGTCTTCGCACACTTCTGCTCAGGCATTCACTGTAATTACATGTGTGTAACCGATTCAAATTTTCTGTTGCGAATACACTCTGTTGTTGAAAGATTGTTGCTTATCCATTGAGCCATCATTACCGACACTAGGAAAATTGAAAGTCCTGGTTATTTTTCTCTTCAACTGGGCTACGTATATGTATTTGTTTATGCTTTGTTTATTCTTTGTTTCACCCGAACAAACTTGTTAATCTGCTGTGGTTGCTCATTAAAGGTTAAGGTTTTCAGTAGATCTCCTTGTTATAAGGTTTTTAATCATATCAATGAATTCGAAAAACATTCCTTGTGGCAAAATGAAAACGAAAGTATTTTACGAGGTGCTCTGTTACCAGACGGAAATTATGTACGAGATGAGTAGTTTCTGAATTAATGAAGGCATATAAGTTTTGCTCCAATAATTTCACAGGAAATGAGTTTCTGTAACTCTCGAAACGAGATAATTAAGCTATGACTGGGAGCTAAAAGCCGATGTACGTGCAAATATGCACGTTACATTTTCCTTTTCACAGAAGGGGTCAAGGCACTCGAACCGTAAACAAATTTTTGGTCAAAGAAAAAAAAAGGAACATTCTATTTATAATACATAGAAAAGATCGGATTGAATCTCGGTTAAAGAGGTGGTATTTTTTATCGCTTTTTTAAGCGAGTTCAAGAAGAGCGACTTGCTAAGCCGACAGGTAGCCATCTTTTATTTCCCTGAAAGGAGACTATTGTACTCCGGCCACTCTGGTTTATGCTTCGGTGAATTTTATTACATGTCAAAGCAGTTTTAAAGAACAAGAAAAATTCCGCCTAGCGCTAATTATTTTTCTCTTAGCTTTCTGGAGGGGGGTGAATAGGCTAACGGATCGGCGGATTCTGAGGATTATTTTGCCCGGATTTCGGATTTAGAGCAAAATTTTAACGGATTGGCGGATCCTGGAATTGCAACGGTTCGCGGTTTCGTCAACTTTTTAGGTTTCGGATTTTGGATTTTGATTGCGAGGAAGTTCGGATCGTGGATCTGAACGATCGTCAGAAATGCGTTGTTTTCTGAGTATGTGTATTTTTTTGTCGCGGACGAGACTCTCTGCATGTCACGCATCAGGGAAATAGTAACGCACTGGAACGTCTGCTGTGTTCGCGCCCTTATCCATGACACTGTACCCCACCGATTGCGATTCACTCGATCGGAAAGCCATTGCCTAGCTAACACACAACAGCTCAAGGTGCGTTTTCCACCTTTTTACGAGACAAGTAGCGAACGGATTCGGATTTAACAATTTTTTTTAACGAACTGACGGATTTGGTTATCAAATCGTAGCGGATCGGCGGATTTGCATACCCCTATTCACCACCCTCTTTCTGCTCTTATTTCAACTGAACTGGGCATGTGTATTCCTTTTCATGTTTTGCTGTATGGATTCAAGCCGGAAAAATTGGCGGTCTGCCGTAGCTACTCGAAGGTCTTAGATCTCTTTATCATTTGTTTGCTAATCCAAGCTACTCTCTCCCTACCATAGTTAATGGAGGGGACCCCTGGATTAACTATGCTACCTGCTAAAAACACTCTAAATTCCTGTTAATGAATAAAATCCCTATGGAAAACTGAAAAATTTTGAATCCTGCGATACTCCCATGATCAGAAATATGGTCCTTTCGGAGTTGTAAGTGATTGAATAACGATGTCAAGGATAAGTTTTACAGAAAGGAACACTTTTTATTAGTTGGCCTGTGGTATAGAATTGGTGTTAAAATTGAGACCGCGAAATGAAATTAGTTTGCATTTCATAGAAAATGGATCCTGACTCAGTGAAGGAAATTCCTTAAACAGAGATGGACATCATGTGAAAGTTCTTCCTTAATTTTTTGAAGAGACACAGAATAATTCTCGTTACTCAGTCATAAGTTCGCTTTTTTAAATAAGCGAATTCAATAAGAGCCACTTACTGGGTCGATACGCAGCCATCTTTATCTCTCTGAAAAAAGACCATTCACAGTACTCTACCCGGGTTTATGCTTTAATGCACTTCAAAAGAACTTTCATCACAAACTAGTTAAACATGAGAAAAATTACGCTAAGTGCTAATCATTGTTCTCTTTCTGCTATCATGATCTCAAATGAACTGGACATGTGTACTCCTGTTTATGAATAAAATACCTTGTGGCAGGCTGAAAACTTTTAAATTCTTCGATGTGTTTCTGTGATAAAAAATTAGGTCTGTTCTGAGTCGCAAGTGAATGAATGAGGGGGTTAGGGATACATTATACAGAGAGGAGCACTTTTAATTTGTGGACGTGCTGTGTATAGTTGGTGTCAAAATTGAGAAGAAAGGAATCAGCTTGCAGTAAATGAATCCCTGCCCAGTGTGGGACATATTTCAACAAGCAACAGTCATTTCATGTCAAGTTAGTGTGCTACATATCCTGAAACGACAGGTTTCCTGAAATTTTTCGAAGAAACACGAGTATTTCTATCGTTGAGAAATACTTCACTCAGAAGTTATGTTTACATTTTATGATCCTTTTTTTTTTTTCCTAGAATGGCGAAACATTGCACACCCCAAAATCTGTTTTCTACTGATCAAAGATGATACGATGGTAGATCTATGGGGTGACACCGGTCAAGACCAGATCGAGTGGATTTGCAAATTACGATATGATGGATTTGAGCACAAAAGAATTGGGGATCTAATTCCGCTCTCGAAAATCGAGTTGCCAAATGGACTGGAAGCAACGTTTGGTGAAATCATAGCACTGGCAGGAGATTTGTACGGCATACCAGAAGAGCCCATCATTCACCCTACCCAGGTAAAAAGCGGTCCCGAACGCCAACGACGCTTTCATGCCGCATACAGCACGCTGGCCTACGTACCTAAACATGAAATTGAAGAAGAATACATGAAGCTTTTAGATCTCTTAAGCAAAGAAAGCTATCAAGGTAAACCTCTTGCACCACAAATATGGGACAAAGGAACCGGAGGCAAGTGGATTTATGGTGGTGTCCCATACAAATTCGGAAGGATGTTGAAATTAGCCCTTCATAACTACGACCATTTTAGCCCTCGCGCTAAAGAAGCCTATCTAGCTGGCCACCACTTGGCCGTTGATAAAGCCAGAGAATCAAGTGAAAAATACTGGGACGAACGGAGCAGACTACTAGATGAAGCACTTTCTTTGGATGCATTTGGTTGCCATTTCTGAACAGACAGTTTTTCAAGTGGACATATATATTAAGTAACTAAATAATTACGTGGTTTTAGTACTAGTCCAATGTTATGGCTTTAACTTAAGTTTTCTGAATTCGGGCTAACTTTCAGTTAGTCGACCAGACCACGCTGAATCCATCTGAACGCATAACTCCCGGAAGTGTCAAGAGCAGCTGATAATGTTTTCTTTGGAAAACCAGCTTCTATATATTACAATGTGTGATTGCTTTAAGAGTAGTAAGGCTAGTGAGTCACGCAGATTAAAATAAGTTAGATTGCATGTTAAACAATTTGATAAAAATTATTCACGTTGGATATGAATGCAATATCCTGGGACACCAAGATTTGAGCTTGGAAGTCAAGTCCGTATGTATTTCGGAGACCTCTTGAGTAAGTACATGCACGATGAAGACAATAAGTTCGGCCTGCGAGTGACAAACAGGAGAGGTGATAAATGGATAGTATATGGTGATGGACAGCTTTTGAAGGATCACAACAAAGACACCCTGCGGCTTGTAACTGAAGCGACCGTGAAATCGGTTCAACAAGTGCTTGAAGCTTCTGTGCACCCAACTAAAGAACAAAGAGCTAGACTTCACTGTGGTAACCGATATCATATCACATGTTGACGAGACCAAGAAAAATAAAACCCCATTGTTCCAGATAAAGCCCGACGGGAAACTGTACAGGAGGAAAGACATCAACAATCTTAAGGACAAAGAAACTACCTCAAACTGGTGGGGAAGCACAACTGCTACATTTATGAAAGTTCATTACGACCCGCAGAATCCTGCTATACAATGAACAACGAATTCTCCTTTGATCGTTGAAAATAGCGTTTTTCTTAATGAACGTTTGGAGACCAGCTTAAAGTTAATTTAATCTTATTATGATGCTGTTCACGAGGCTAACAAGAAATCTACAATGTACAACTTTAATGATAGATATGCGTTTTTACTGAGTATTAGCAATTATGGTTGGTTTTGGAAGTGGTTAGCTTTTTGACGCTATCTCGCTTTTGTAGGAGGGGCAGTTTACAATTAGATGTAATGACTTAGATTCTGTAACTTTCCTCTAAACGCAATGGGGAAAGATGGAAGGATTTTTTTCTTAGTGATATGTTCATCATCAATAAACCTTTACCAATCTTTAAAACATCGGTAGGTAAATAGATAGATTATTAGGTTGATGCATTTCCTTTTTCAACAGTTGACTGACTGACTGGGTAAATGCGGATAGTTTCAAAAGAAACTGTTTGGGGCTGCGTCGGTGGGGGTAACGAAATAATTTGGATATATCAACAAAGTTGAAATAGTAAATTGGCCACCGTAACGATTACAAAAGCTGACGTTTCGAGCGTTAGCCCTTTGTCGGAGCGAATAG